GAGTGAGTGAGTGAGTGAGTGAGTGAGTGAGTGAGTGAGTGAGTGAGTGAGTGAGTGAGTGAGTGAGTGAGTGAGTGAGTGAGTGAGTGAGTGAGGCCCCTCACTATAACTCGTTTCTACGCTTCGCGTATCCATGAGTTAAAAAGGGAAATGATAATGTTTAATTCCTCTAATCAATTCAAACTTACCAAACTGAGAGTAATACGAATGCTGGTATAAAAATTGTAAAAACTTGTCATTGAATTGAAATGAACAAGGGAACTGCTGATAGATCTGTAATAAACCACAAAACAGATATGTGTTAAGACTGTCTGTATAAAGAGACTTTTTATAATAACTCTAATGTGAAAATAAACATCAACATATAAGAAAATGCTTATTATCATATGACCCGTATCTGCCTGGGCGCGCGCTCTTAAGGCCAATCTAGACGGCACAACTTTTGCCTACAACTTGTACGCGCGTACGCTGACGACATAGCTACAACTCGAATTGCTCCGTCTAAATTAACCGTACAACCTGCTCACAACTGTCGCATGCAACATGAAAAAAGCTGCACAACTTTGAGATTTTCCTCAAAGTTGTGAGCAATTTTAACGAAAAAAAGCAAGACTGAAAGGGAGAGGGTGACGATTTTGGACGATATGGAACCGGAACCAGAAATGGCACTTCCAAATGTTACGAAAACGAGGAAAACAAAACAATGCAAAGACGAAGAAAAGAAATTTTTAAGCGTTGAAATCGAAAGGTTGGTTAGCGGATGGGCAAAAGAGGAAGTTTTATTCAACTGTAAGCACTCGTCTTATTTCAACAAAGATCATAGAGCCGTGCAGCAATGCAGTGAGTAAAATCCATTAATCGTGCTATTTTGTGACTTGAATGCTTATAGTTTTCATGTTTAGACATGTGATGTTGCTATTTTGCTCATAAATTCCCGTGCTATAGTTCTAGCTAGGTCAAATTGGACGTTCCAGTTTCTTTCTTTGAAATAATTTGGTTCTCTGTACTACGCTTTCTGTCCGCCATCTCGTTTGTTGTCGTCCCCAGTCTCCTAAACAACCAACCGAGCAAATTATGTGCAACTTTTTTTGTGTCGTAAGTTGAAAGTTGTGCGCGTCTAGATAACGGCTACAACACGTCCTAAAACTCTCGCGCGTACAAGTTGTAGGCAAAAGTTGCGCCGTCTAAATTGGCCTTTAGAAAAACCTTCGGGAAAATGGCGTGAGCAGGACCGTACGGCTTTGAGCGAGCAGGGCCGTACGAATCCGTACGCCCCTGCTCAAATCCGCGCGCTTTCTCTTTGTTTAGCTTTTATTTACTATTTCTTTCTTTCTTTTATCTTATTATTTTTCTTTTCGTGAGGGTCATATGATAAAATGATTATTGACTGAGTTAGGTCGGGCAGTACGGGAAAATATTTGACTTGAGGTGATGCCGTACGGATCGAGCGCAGTCAATAAGTACTTAGTACGTACCTGCCATACACACTCCAAAAACAATAAAAAACAAGGTCCTTGTCCTTTGTATCTAATAGGTGATACACCAACTTTGATGCACCTTGTTGCAAAAGGATAGCCTGCACGTAACCATTCTCTGTCTATCAAACCCTGAAAGCTATTGATTTGTCAATAATCAGAATTGAAACTATCAAATAATAAAATCATGATCAAATGCTACCATACCCTTTAACAGTTCGGCAGTTTGGTTCTAAAATAACTTGAACTAATGATGTCACTTGAAGTGTGGCATCATATCCAGCATCTCCATGGACAAGGACTGGAACACCTGGAAATAACAGATACATTGAACTTTTGACATATCCAGACTTGTTGTTGAGACTTCCAGGGGAAGGGGAAGGGGGGGGGGGGGGGGATTTGCAAACAACAAATGCTACTTTACCTCAGTATGACTTCCCCATTTCTGAAATTCTTCACACACTGAAAACTGCTACTTGTACACAATCAAATCCTGTTTGTGCAAACCTTTTCGCTGCATTCCAATTATTCTGATTTTTTTGGGCACTTTTGGCGTATAAGACCCTGTAGAAGGCACAAATGTAAAAACTGGACCCAAATGTAATATGGGTCACAAATGTAATAAACTTTGGTCATAAATGTAATAAAGGTCACAAACGTAATGAACTTTGGTCACAAATGTAATAAAAAAGTTTTTTGTATCAGTCTCAAGGCCAAAACTAATTGTGCTTTTAATTGTTGTAAACTCAAAATCCATTGTACAACTGTACACCGTGCATGCAAATTTTCCACATTTTTTTTCTCAGATATTGTTTCTACAATTTCCAAATTCATTTAATTTTTAAAACGATTCACAACATTAAACCTAAAACAAGCTTTATTGAACTCGATCAACTTTTACATTAGGCAATCAGATAAATAGGTATAAAATAGAGTTTACAACATCAGCATATCGTTTTCATGTTTTTCATGCTTGTCAATTGATTTTGTGACATAATTGACTGACTTTTTTCTTATAAGCTTACACGAAAACCGTTAGCTCATTTCAGGGAGGTGTCCGCACTTACAGCACACCACCTTAGATCCGCCCTTGCTTCCATCAAGTTTGCAACTGAAACAGTTCTTCAGTACCAAACTCTTTAATACTTCGGCAGTTGACATTTAGAGGCCGAATTTTAACAAACAAACGAACGATCGAACAAACGAATGAATGAATAATGCGGAATGTGATGTTTTAAGGGGAAAATTATTTTCAGACTACTGGCATTAAGCCATGGTTTTGTGTTGCAGTTGTTTGGAAAAAAATCTTTTGAAAAAATAGTGATAACTTGTGATCGTCCCTAAACTGAACTAATGATCGACAACCATTGAGACATCAAATGAAAGAAAACACAAAAACATGAAAATGAAAATGAAAAGCGAAAAATGAAATAGAAGTACATTATTCGACATTAATTCCATTTTATTATCAATAACAGCGTAACTTTATGAATAGAATTAGCATGATTTTAAGTTATTTATGATCAATTTATTTTCGATAATGCAAGCCACTTTCGGATCATGTGAGTATTAATTAAAGTCAGCTGAAAGTTTTTTATTTTATTATTTTATTAGAGTGGAACAGTATGTCCGTGAAAAATTAGTTTTACTAAATAGTACAATTCTATTCAAATTATATTGTTTTCTATTGTTTAATTAGCACTATTTTGTA